AACCTTGTTCTATTTCAAAAAAGACAAACATATTTAAATTATTCATTAATGTCACTTTTAAAACAGTTCTTCCCTTAAAAAAACACTTTGAATTATTTTATTGTACTTTGTAATACAAATAAAGTTATAGCAGTTAAAACTTCAAAATAATCAATAGTTTCCTATAAGTTATAATAAACACTGAATTGGTATTTAATGTTATTCATTGGTAATATTTTAATTTCTGAGGAAGTGCTATGATTGAGTTCTACACATTCCATTTATAATAAAATGGAATCTCTACTAATATTGAAGTGAATTAAAAATTGAATTAAAAAAGTAGAGGAAAATCTAATATTAAAATTAATATAAAATATTTTAGGAATTAAGAAAAATTCTCAATATGGCTAAAGAACAGTACAACTTCAACAGTAAACATTTCATTCCAGTAATGTATTTTTACATTAAAACATGTCAGATTTAATTTGCTTTTCAATATACAAAGTAAAGGAAAAGGAATATACTCTTTTTATGTTATCTACTTCATGATATGGCATAAAAAATGTGAACAGAGGCATTAAGTAAATACTCTAACAACTGAAAGTGATACAGAAAGGAATATTATTTTTCTCATGTAACAGGACACACATTTTGAGTGACTATTTTAAAATATGTCTTTACATAAGCCTTTCAACCATTCTGCTGCAGCTGCCAGTACCATAAAGTAATTTAGTTGCACAAATGACTTTAAAAGACTGACTTTTTGACAAAGTAATTTATTACAAGTTGGAGTCTAAAAACATTTAAGACTAACTTCAAAATGAACCATTTCATAGTCAGCTTTGGTTTCATTAGGGGAAAACATCAGATTCAAACTAAGAAGATTTTGCAAAACTCTGCATACAGCTTATTCAAATACAATTTTAAATACACCAGAACATACTATATTGAACTGGTTTCAAACTTTCTTCTCATAGGATTTTTTAGCTTTTATTTTTACCCAAAGCCCTTTTCCAGAAGATGTAATTACACCATTAACTACAAGGCAGTGAACATGGATTTGAATGAAGTACTTACTTTTGTATGTTGTGATAACTAGTTTTTTTTTTCTCCCTAAGACACAGGAAAATCTATGAAATATTAGAATTTATGCAAAAAGAGAGAGAGAGAAGTTACTATACCTGAACTGTAGAACTGATCTCTGATGCAAAGCCTCCTGTCAAGGGAGCCTCATGACTGATCATGAGTCGCCCAGTTTTGGCCACTGACTGAAAAAGAGAGACAAAAAACTCAGTTTTTAAGAGTTGGTATTTTTTCCAACTTAATGATGTTACAGATTTACAAGTGGTTTGAGTTCAGTTACATGCATAACTCAAGAATGGAATCTAAAAATACATTGAATTGCCTTTCTTATGATGGCAGTCTATTCTGACACTATCAAAAGTAAAACAACACTTTTTAAAATGATATTATATATTAACAAACGGAGAGAAAACATAATTCTCTAGCTCCACTGTTAACCTAACTTTTTTGTGATAGATAACAAATCATTTTCAGCTGAGGCTGTTGCAGTTAAACATTTTCCTATATCTCTACGCCAATTTTCCTCTTTCTGTAGCAGTAGTAGGGAGAAAGAAACTGCTATATTTTGTTCATTTCAATGTATATATTTAAATATTCAAATTTTAAGAAAAAACAACCTAGGTAGTTGAGAAGGAAAGTACCAAAATAGTATAGAAAAGCTATGGGGAAAACAGGATAGAAAGAAAGGGCTTAAACTTGGAATACTGAAAATGATAGAAAATATGAAGACATTACAGATAATGTTGATAGATTTCTAAGTTTTTTCAGCACCTGTATGATAAATACAGTGAATCAGAACATCACCATTTAATTTTAATGTAAAAAATCGCATCTGATACAATCACTGCAAATGGGTGATACAGTAGTTCAAAAAGATATATAACATACACTATAAACAAGATGGTATGAAAAAAGTTTAACTGTGACATTAATGGCAGAATTTGAGTTATGTTATAAGGTTAAAAAAAGATAAATGAGTGATTGTTCAACTATCTACTAATTTTATCTTTCTTACATTTTATATTAAATTGTTATGCCTATGAAACATGAATATTCAAATCAAAATATATTTATGCTGTTTCTTCTCTAAAGACTACACAGGATGGATTTTAAGATATGAATTGTTTATAGCCAAGAGAAGATCAGAAAAAGGGTCAATGACTTTGCTAAAAATTCTAAATGGTTCACCTGTTCTAGTTATGTTACAAATAAGATTTAAAATAGTTTATCCTCTCAGTTACAAATATGTGACAAACTAAAAACACTGTGAACTGAATTTAAAAATAAAAGCTCTAACTCCAGTATATTCCTATTTGTTTTTTTTAATTTAAATGATGTCAATTATATCATGAGCAAACTATAAATACAAAATAAAACTTACTAATTAATAAAAGTATTTTATAACTCTAAAAATGTATGTTTAAAAGAAAAAAATCTTGAAAATAATCTGACCTTAAGAAGGTCACTTTAAAAAAAAAAGAGGGCTGGTATTAATACTATGAATCAAAGTTCCTAACTAAAGCTTTTCCAGGCTTGACCTGTTCAGAAAGTCTACAACCAAGTGAGTCATCTTGTCTTCAGTTTCACATAAAAGGAATTTTGAGACTTTTAACAAAAGCAGCTCAGTTATCTTAAAGTGCCATTAATGGTAAACATACGAACAGTGATTGCTATGGTAACCGAAGCTAAAATCATTCAAGGCTTAACTAAGTAAAACAGTCAGCATTTTCAATTATGTTTGGAAACAAATATGCAGATTATGGAGATTACATGATTCCCTGTGCCTAGCACTAGTTAAACACACCACAGATATCTGTTGATTCACATGAACTGATATATTCTCCAGTTGCCTCTAGGGAATCTTCCATGGAGAGTCATTTTCAATAATAACAGGAGGTCCCAATTGCATGAATGGTACTGATGCACTACATGGCTATTGGAAAAGATCACAAACAGATGGGAAAAGACAAAACTTTTATAGGAGCAATTAAAAATATTGGGAAATTAATTCTCTGATTGTAGTTTTACTGGCTTAGAGGAATCATGAACCAAAAAAAAAAAGCATCACAGCACTGTTCCTTATATGCCCCTATGTATTCCTTTATCTCCCAATATCACAGCCGTCTTATGAGTTGAATTTGTCAGTGTGCTTTTTATTCAGCTTCCCCTCTGCCTGCCTAATCAGGGAGTAAATACAATGAAAAAGGTACTGTTAGAATCAGGTAAAAAGATGGCCTAATATTTCCATTTTTTTTTTCAGTTTATAAATATTGACATAATTACAGGTAGAATTCTACAGATATGATTGTAGCTCAGAAGAATTAGGGAATATGAAGAACCAGAATGAGATGCTCTGAGGTTCCCCATTTCTAAGAGCAGTATTGAAAATGCTATTTCAGATGGGGCAATCAATCAGCATTGTGATGTTCAGAAAGGGAGGCAAGTCATTTAATTATATGGAAAGTATCCCTGTTTGTTAACAGTGTTCTGAAAACCTATTTCTTCATACTCGATGCAGAAGACATTGGTCTTCTTAAAGGGATGATATTAAGAAAAATGGTTGTCACCAATAAAAATTCCCAAAGCCAAATCATATTACTCAAAGATTTGAGTACAAAGGTATTTCTGATAGGTTTATTTGTAATTATCACTGGTTCACTGTCCTTTGATTTTCATTCGTCTCTTCACTCCTCAGCATTCTGCTGAGTACCCTCTCTTTTAACATACACTCTCCATTTCTCTGTTCTTTTATAAGTCTACTTAATGTCATATCAAATATTTGGTCAAAAGCACAAGGTGTGAATGTTTGTGTTTGGGGTAGGGGAGAAGACACAATGAGACTTCTCTTCTCCCTTTCCCTTTTCCCTTCCTATCCCTACCTCCCCAAGCACACTTTTGGTTACTTCCTGTAGGATGAAGTGACAGTCCATGTAATTCGCATATGTTCAAATCACACTCTCCATAAACTGATAAACTACTTCAACACTACATTTCTGGTTGCTAGGGTATGGCACTCAAAAGTCCTATCTCTCCATAGGCTTCCTTAACTAAGGAAGTTCCAACCCACACAAAAATACTACTACTACTACTACTATTTATTTGTTTATATAACCATATATAAATACAAAAGCTATAGAGTTCAATGAAAACCAAGGTTATTCTGTTCAACAGAAAGGGAGACAATCAGACAACAAATGAGTAGGTTGTATACTACCTTTCTCATTAAATCAATAGTTATCTTTTGCTTTCAAGAAAACAGTTGAATTACATTAAGCCATCACTGAAAGACTAATTGCTAGAAAATTATTTTAGAGTTAGTCTAAAGTATATATGCTTTGATTTTGTTCATTTAATGAAAAACTACTTTCCATCCTACCTTCCCCCACTCATGTCGTTGAAAAGGCAAAAAAAAAAAAGCAACCCTATAATAAATATGCATAGTCAAGAAAACAAATTCTCACATTGACCATGTGCAAAAAATACTTGTTTCAATTTGTGCTCAGTCAATCACCTCTGTCTTAGGAGGTGAGTAGCATGTTTCATTATGAGTCCTCTGGAATCCAGATTAATCACTGTGCTGATTACACTTCTCAAGGTGTTTGTCTTTTCAATGTTATGGTATAAATTGTTGAGTTCTGTTCCTAAATACATAATTTTTAAAGATAAAATTTTATTACTTTCAAGTGACAGGAAAGGGGTCAATCATTGCAAATGGTCTGTCTGGATAGGGTTTTACTGGTAACAGTCATTTAGCAACAAACAATTCCACAGCAATTTACAAAGCATGGCCAACTTGGTACACTGAAAAGAACAAAGCACTAGGAGTCAGAAGATTTTAGTTCTAATCTGAGATATATTACTTAGTACTGAAATTGATAAAAGGAAATGTATATGCCAAGGTTCAAGCACCTCCTTTTGATCAGGATATTTTGATTATTATGTATATTCCTCAAGATTTTAAAGCAACAAAGTACTAAAGTTTTTTGAAATATTTGGTCCTCTCAGCTATATTAATAATCTCCACCCATTTGTTTATGTGGTAATTATTTCTTAGGAAAAAGTAAGCTTCATATCACCTGATATGATAGAAGTTATAGATTAATAGAATCTAAATTAATGATGTTTTAATGCAGCATTAATAATGAGGATCAATGGTAACAAAATTGCAAAGTTAAGTATAGTTTTGGAAAAAAATAAAAAAAGTTGGCACTACAGCTAGTACAGCTTGGAGCCCAAAAGTTGAACATATGTTTTAGTGAATCTGGTCTGTAAAGATTTTTAACACAATCCGTGCAGGAAAACTGTTAAGCTGTCATTCCAAAAGAAAATGATATAGACAGGATGACTGTTAAGTTTGCACATGTCTGAAAGCACAACATTGACATCAGAAAAGTAAAAACAGATCTTTTTGTCATTAAAACCTTTAGCAAGATATTTTCCACAGTTTCACTGAGAAATAAAACCTTTCCGAGACTTTGTTACAAGCCAATTAGCAAATTATCATTACAAACAGGTGAATATAACAATTTTCTTTCATTATGGCCAATATATCATTTGCATGATGTTGTATAGTTGAAAGCAAAGCTTACGAAAAGCAAATGATTAATCCAAGTCTGCCTCCACCAATACCCCCTTAAAAGTTGCAAATGATGCACAATTTAACCCAGCGGATTTAAATTTAATACTTATGTTTTGTTAATAAGAGTAATCATGAAAAATAACTGCTAACACAAACCATAATCATTAATCAGCTTTAAACTCCCACCCAAATGAATGAGTTCTAATGTTTTTTGAAATATTTTTTCATCTATCTACCCAAATTCTCATACTAATCAGTTAGCCAAAAACATCTCACAAATCATCACAAGCTAACAAATGTTTTGGTATTTGCCTATTAAACATTAGTCATCAGTGTGGCCTTCACACATATGACAGTACAATTGGCCAATATTCCACTGGAGAAAAACCAAAGCTAAAAGAGAATGAACCAGTCATAGGCTTCATGAAAAGTCTAATGTGATAGCAATGGAGTTTCAAGTATTTTGGTATAGTAGGAAAATGGTGTAAACTGAAAAAACTGAGACCTTAGGGTTTTAACACACATGGAAAAATCTAAAAGGGTACAAGCAAAGCCTGAGAGAGAACAGAATAAACTGTAGAATGGAAAGACAAGCAAATGATGGTG